GGGGGGGGGGGGTCCCAAAAAAGGGCGCAAGATACCAAAACTACGTCGCACGCAATATATCACGGGTCTCGAGCTTTTGGGCTGAAGGCCCGTCTGAAATACCAAAAAGAAGCTACGAAAAATGCCGGTTCATGTGGAGACGACTAGCTAAGACCAGAAGGGAAAACTACAAAAATCTACAGGTGCATCTAAAGGAAAAATCGCAACACGCTCTATCGTATTCTGTCTCGAGGTGATGATATGCAGATTTCTGCTCTTCGATGTTTCCCTCGATGGGCCTCGGGGATTGGTGGGATCACTGGGCCGGGAGGGTTACGCGCTCCGGCATTGGTTGGCAGTTCCGGCATCGCAGGGCATTGGTCGTTTCTGTTGCTGCCGTCCTGTTGGGCTTTCCAGGGCCTCGCAGGCGGGTGGCATAGCGGTGGCTTCGCTGGCGTGCAGACTGGCTGTCGCGCGCTGAGTAAGATTGCGACCTCCAAGTTTATCAAAATCCTCCCGGGCACATCCGTGGAGTTGGAAAAAGAAGGCTCCACCACTGTCGCCCGGCCTCTTTACTACCCGTGTGACGGGACTGCACCGGGGCTGCATACACGTGGTGATGGTGGCGAGCGGACTGGATGGGCATCATCCTCATGAATCTGGGTCAGCTGTTTACCTGCCCATGCCTTCCCTGACTTCTGCTGCCTCGGCGACATAGTCACTCTCTCGATCCTTCCTTTGGAGATGGCTGATGGTCCTCGTAGAAGGTCTGCGATGATGGTTCTCGATGATGGTCCTCGAGCCAGTGCCCTAGGGGAATGCTGACAGAGAGGGAAGGGTGGAGGGAAGGGACCTTAAAACTAAATACAATAGCCCTAAAACACTAAATATGCGCGATAACAAGTAATATCTGCAATAATAGTGCTCGGGGCCAGTGGTACCCTCGAGCCAGGTGGCAGGGAGGAGTTTATGGTAACATTTTTGTTACAATATAATAATATCCCTTAGCTGGATCCTTTGTCTGTGATAACATAGCTGACGAGTGGGGTCATTGAAGACCCCAAAGAAAATTTAGTTATAAAATCAACTGTTTTTAATATTTTGGCTTGAAATTTTTTTTGGTTATATCTTAATACATATTTTTTAAGATAAAACCTTCTGTAGATCGAGTTTTTTTTAGAGATTTAAAAAAAAAATTAAAAACTTTAAAAAAATCGAAAAAATGACATTTTTTACAAAAAAATCTATAATTTTAAAAATTGTTAATATTAAGAGCTAAAAATTTAGTTTTACATAGCCGAGATATAGTTCTAGAAGATACCGTCAAGAATTTGTATGCCCTTTTAAGAAAAGGTATTTATTCTGAGAAATGATTGCATATGCATTTTTGAAATAATTGAAAAAAATAATTTTTTCGAAAAAAGTAATTTATTTAGTTGAAAATGAAGTTATTATAAATTGAGAATGTTGAAAAAACTTGTTTTTATTACATTACACACATATTCAAAAAGTAAAAATGTATTTGTAATGAATTTATTCGTTACAACATTCATTACAAAAGCTAAGACGGTGATCGTCACAAATAGATTTTGTGCATGAGGCACAGCCTTGCGATGTCTTTTTATCTTTCTTTCTTGGGCATACAGAACATCTTTGTCTATTATCAAAATGGACACTTTCAAAATCTTTTACGATAGGTAAATCAACTCCTTTCAACAAATCTATCTTTTCCATACAATATTGAGAGCGGTCTACCACGCTGACGTTTTTGCGGTTCATTTCGCTCGTTAGACACACGGTCTGATAAAGGTATGTCATCATCATTGCTGCTATCAGAACTTTCCTCACTCGAAATTACTTCTTGCTCGGATTGTGTTTCCAAAGGCTCTTCCTCGTCTTCAGTGTCTTGCTCGAGTAGATTTTGCTGTATAGTCGAGCGTTACCGTAGGTTATATGCCATCTTCAAATTCGATAAATTATTTAATAAATTATTTTAAAAAATCGCTTCAAAAAAGATTTGAGTACTTCAAAACACTGTTTACTTACTTTATTTAATAATGAATATCAAAAACTGTGCAAAAACTTTTTGGAGCACTACACACTTAAATAACACAGCTGGATACCTGGGGTCGCTGGCTGCACCAGTGTACTTCGGAGCACTGCACAAGCAAGACTGACGCGCCGAGATTTATCGAAAACATGCTTAAGGGAATTGGTACTGATGCTCTATCGACAGATGGCGCCATAAGTCTGATTTTTAAATTCTGAATGTACGAGAATCGCGATTGAAAAATAGCTGGGTCAAATTGACCCCATGGATCCAGCCAAGGGATATATATTGTGATGACGTAATCGCACAAATAAATGGCACCGCTAGAAATAAATATTATAATATGAAATTATTGGGCGCCAGGCATAATCAGAGTTACACCACTGTCTCCAGCGGATAGCTTGGCCCCAGTTCTCTTGCGGTGGGGTTCTGGGTCTGGGAGACATTAACTAAATTTGTAATTTATAATCACAACAAGACAACACAAAAGGGGCTTTGAGAAATCAAATAGACCTGAGGTTTCGTTTAAAAGTACGGAACTCAAAGACGGGTCCGATTTATTTAAAACAATAAAAATAAAAAGGAATATAAAAATAATATAATAAAATTTGTTTATCACGAAACACGGTAAAGAACAAAGGTTCCAAAATAATTTATAAAATGCAGAATAATATCATAGGTGGAACAACGGTTTCGGAGAATACACGCTTAGGGGAATAACGATTCCTCAACAACCTAGAAATTGTGAATAATAATATAATCGAATAACGGTTCTATCAGAAATAAAAGAATGGATAAGGTAAGACAAGTAATTACGTAGGGACCACCGGGCCCATAAACTTCAACTAACAAGGAATAATGATTCCTTATGCAACGCGAATAATAATAATACATAAAGTATAGACGGATCGAAATCCTCTAAAAAGAATACACAACAGTATTATCTGGAATACCGGACGTTTCCAGCAACAACACGCGTATTACGCAATACATGCGAGTAGATACACACCACTCCTGGGCTATCTTGGCGTGGTGAGAAGTCTCATTCGCAAAGTAGCTAGTTGTGCACGTCTTTAAACAAAGTTATGATGGCATGTATAGCGGAAACGGCACAATGATCAAATGTGTCAAAGTGACGACACAACTGAAATTCAGAGATTGATTCTATCTCGCAGAAGAGACGGTTTGCTCGATTACAAGAGTAGAAGTACCTCTAGAAATGATGGTCAGGTGGGACGGATTGCCCGCTTGCTTGAGACGGTTTGCTCGTTTACTTTACTAAAGGTCACCTAGCTAGCTCAGGTGATAGAATGCTCGAGTCGCCAATCGTCGCCGTTTATACACCCGTCAACGGTAGGCTAGGGGGCCTGAGAGGTGCGGAAGAATTGAGCGTCGCGATGCCTACGAATTGTTATTACTTGATATTAAAGGTTATTCGGGTTAGCGGGATCTTATTATCACTGCGATACGAATATCCTCGGATGTATTGGTTACAATACATATATTGTATATCGCAAGAAACAGTAGCTGTACAATTTTATTAAGAGAATAAAACCTTAAGCATGACCATTCTGGGCAGCCGTGGTGCTCCGCACGAAGGAGAGGTACTCATGGTTATAGAGGGAGAGTAGCTCCACCAATAACTGGTAAAGAGCCGGCGACCACAGGCCTTTCTTTTCCAAAACCAGCCGAAGATCGTCCAATATGTTGTCCCTGGAGGCGTCATCCCCGCGGCGATCGAGCTCCGCAATCGGCGTCTCTTTGCAGCTGTTAGCGCTGTCGGTGATCTCGCGTAGTGTGTTTACTTGGACGGTCACGCAGCGCAAGACCCTTTGGAGATTGAGGTACGACACCCTCTTCATTACGACCACAGGTGTGTACGCTTTAGCTCTTTTAATACCCGAGTGGTCGTTACTCGTAGATAGCGGCGCCGATGGTTTGAAAATAATGGCCCGCTCGCCATATGAGTACGTGAAGTTAGATACTGATACCCTATAGCGAGTGATTCACTGCTGCGTGCATCTACATCAGCATTAACATAATCCAGTGGTATCCCGTAAAAAAGAAAACAAGCGACTGGGGGACGCGCGAGCGTCCACTAATGTACAGTCTGAAAAAACCAATAGAATCGTTACAGAGGTACACTGAACAAAAAAAAGTTTATAGAACTGTACGAGGACTAAATGGCGCACTACGACGGCATTGAATTATTGCGGAATAGGCGTATACAGAGGGCGAAGACACGGGCCCTCAATCGTTACGCAAACCCCGAGCAGTATCCAGAGGAAGAGACCATAAGAGAGTGGGTGAGATTCGGTCATTTAACAGGTGTACCGTTAGTCTCGATATACATGTCGAAACCGGGAGCGCTGGACGCTGATGACCTATACGGCGATAACCCCGACATAATCTGCCGTAAGGGTTGGGCGCCTGGTGTCAGACCTGTGATACTACCAGAGCCATCTATAGCGGCTATACTGGATAAGGGATACCGCAATTTCACACGGTGTAGCGCGACGCTGGGTTTTATCTGTGATCAGCGTTGTAATGATAGCCCTTACGCAGAGCGCATATGCACCCACGAGTAGTTGGCAAAAGTCGAGTGGCGTATGTCCAACGATGGTAGTCCCAAGTGCCGCACCATGTATCGACGACCGATGACCAGATCAGCCCTAGCGATGCTGAGGAGTAGGAATGGACGGCCCACACCGCAAGAGTTACCGCGCCACGCACCTATGCGTCTGGAATCGGAAGCGTGGTTGGCGGCATTCAACCACCTCGACAAATTACGCGAGAGCTGCGTCACCCTATGGTGTTTGAGGTCTATGCGGGCATACGAAACAGCACTACACACT